CCATCATACTGTAAAAATGCTTGTCTAATATTTTGCTGATATTTTTATACACTATAAATTTTTCCACCACTTTTTCTAATCATTCTAGTTTTCTACTATCTAATTCGATATCTTTGGCAATCATCCTACTCTCTCCTCTTTGGGTGTTTTCAGAACCTTCCTCCCCGGTATTTACATTGTCAAAAATAGTAGCATCTTTTATATTTTCTTTTTTTTGGGTTTTAAAAAGCAGAGCTTTATGCCTGTCTCAATAATTCAAAATATCTGCTTGAGAAGTTTTCAATGGCTGATCGGGCATTAAATCCATTTCAATAGTTCTGGTAGTCGATCTTTCTTTTTTATCATAACCGCCAACCTGATGTTGTTTACCACCCTTTATTTCACCAGTAATTTGCGTTCATAATTTACCAGTAAATAAGCGAGGATTATTGACTCACTTGTAATAAAGATCCCGTAATAATATTTCTAAATCCCCAACAATAGCTTCTACATCGCTCAGATAAAGATTAATATTAGGACACATAGGATAAGTATTGGTTAGGGGATCCTTGGCCAAATAAGGAGCATATCGAAAAGAAATAAAATCTCTTACTCTTTGCAACCAATAAGAAATTTCTGGAGTTAAGTAAGGAGCCGGTGGTATATTGGATTCCGGAGTCTCTACGTATTTCTGAATTCTATCCCAGAAAAATGACTTGTGTGATACTAACTCAACTTTTATATTTTTCAGCAGTTCTATTAAGTGCCTTTTATCTCTACCTAGTGGCTCATTTTGGAGATATTTTTCGACAAAAGAACACAAATTGGTTAGTTCGATCTTAACAAAAGAAGGATCGTGCTTGTTCTTGGTTATTTTTAGGTAATCCTTGCTGATAGTCCGAAGAACATTTAATTTAAATTGCTCGTAAGTTTCAATAGTGGCAGTGCCTAAAGTAGTTAAGTCCAAATTAAACTCTGATTTACTCGACTGCTGCCGCAATAAATAAACTGTGTAACTAGATTCATCTTTAATCTCCAAAGTTGGTTCAAAAGTAACAATATCAATTATTTGCTTTTGTGGAATATTTACGGTTAGACTATTGTCGGGATTAATTTTTACTAATTGTTCATTTTCTTGCAAAGTGTAACTGGCTGGTTTAACTTCTTCTTTATAAATAAAATGAGAAAATACTTCTCGAGTATTATTGGTAGGGTCTAAATCGTATTTAGGAACATAATTTAAAGATTCTTCTTTGGTTTTAACTTCCTTAACTTGGGGATTAGATTGAAATGGGATAATCCCTATCTTTATGTCAGGAGGGATAGGAGGAATGGGGCCGGCCGCTGTCATGGTTCCTGTCTCGATGGCCTTAACCGCTTTATTTAAATCATCTATATCAAATGCCTTGTCAATTTGGTCGATCTCTGCTTTGGTTAAATTGCGGGGTCAGTTTCTTTTTTTATGGAACTCTTTATGTTTTTTTAGATCCTCGGCTACTAGGTATTTTCACCTCCTTTTGGCCGTTTCTTGTAATCAACTTGGTTTTATGTCTACCATAATTATTAAGTTTTTTTATTTAAAAAGTTCCACGAAAATGTTGTGGTGTTAGTAGTTGTGTTTGATTCCACTAAACGGGAAATAGTCGAGTGATAAGATGCATGATTTGGGTTCATGTGGCGGGAGTTTGATTCTACTCTCAACTACCATTATTTTTACTTTTGAACTGACTCGTTTTGTTTTCTTTATTTTCTGTCGGCGAGCCAATTGAGTGGTAAGATTATAAAATGATATTTATATTATGCTAGCCACTTGAAACTGCCCTCGTTGCAACAACAAAAAAATAACTGGTAAAGACCCAGAAATAATACTTAGACTGGCCAATGAACATGCTCAAACCTGCGAGAATGCCCTTAGATGTAATGAATGTCAAGAAGTCATTAATTACAACGAACAATATAAATCTGAAACTCTAGATACTGAAAAAAAAAATTACCATTTACATTGTTTCGAAGAATTAATGGTAGAAAGAAACAGAAAACAAGAAACTGCTAAAATGCTTAAATGCACTGGTGGCTGCGGCAAAGAAGAATTAGGCGAAATAAAAGAAGGAAATACACTTATCAGACGCTTTAGTTTTACTTGCGGTGAGTGCTGAGAAAAAGAATTAAATTCTCCTTGTGGCAAGAATTGTCAAATTTGCCAAAAGAATATAACTAAAAAAGAATTAAAAACTTTAATTGGTAAAGACATAATCCCCTTAGAACACGCCGAAAAAGATATTTATTGCGAAAGTTGTTTTGCTAAGAAAGATGAAAAACCTACTTCTCAATTAATGTCTCGCTCCTCCTCCTGCTCTCTTTCTCCACTTTCCCCTTGCTCTCGCAAGAGGTTAGAAGCAGAATTATTAACATTAAGACTAGAAAATATTGATCTAAAAACTAGAATAGAAAGATTAGAAGGCAACTATGAAAAAATATTAGATAAACTGTCTATCGATGTTGATAATGACAGCCAAAAAGTGGCAGAAAACAGACAGGATTATTATTATAATTTTCCTTCGCCTTATCAAACTATCCCAATTGAAGGATTTTCAGGTCTAGAAAGTTGGGGCAATAATCTACCCGATGCTTTCAGTTCTTCCTGCAACATTTCTCAAATTAACGAAGAAAGTGAAAAGGTCTTTGAGTCAATAACTAAAAGACAAAAAGAGGCTGAAATGGAAACTAAACTTCATTCCCAAGTTATTAGAGACATCTATGAACAATCAGAAAGAGAATGAAACCAAAAAAAATATCAATTTTATCAAGAACAGCCGCCTAAATAAATAATCGTATGAAAGTACAGGAATATATAGAAGAAAATTATCCTAAAGAAGGAAGAGGGTGGCAGGTAAAGCCACGAGAACAAGTAACTAACATAGATCTTTATGGAAGATTAGAGGTTCATTTAGATTATTGTTTTTTTTTTTTTTTTTTTGCTAATTTCATTATATCGCCTTATTATTCATTGAGTATTTGGTTGATCTTTGTCCGATGATTCTTTATTTTGTCTTGCAACTCCCTATTTTTAAGTAAAAGTTTAATGGTGGAATCTTTGGTTCCAGGTGAATTATCTGCTTTTCAAGCCCTAACGTCCCAATCATAAGGTTCTAGCATTTTACCTAATGCATCACCTGACTCAAAAACGCCAGTCCTTGAGTAACTACTCTTTAATTCTTGGCATGGTAAATATTGCCGACCGAGATAAAGATATTTCAATCTGTCTAAATCTAAATATTCTAATCCTTCTTTGGGAATCGCAAAATGATAACCCCCCTCAATTTTCAAATATTCCAACTGCTGGCAATTCGCTAAAGCTTTATAAGAACCATTAATATATTCCAACTCTAATTTTTTTAAATTAGTCAAATGGAAAAAAATATTCAAATCAAGTTTTTTTGCGGTTTCCCCATGAAGTTCAATTTTTTCTAATTTAATATTGTTAGTTAGATCTAAATTATCTAATGGTATGTAACCGAATATATGAAGATTGACTAAGTTAGGGAAATTTTGTAAATTAAAATATCTTTCCTTGTTTAAAGGCCTATCAATCGACAATTCCTGAATAGGTAAACCTTTTACTGTATCGGTGTCTAAAATAGAAAAAATGCCCGGACCAAGAATTAGCTTTTTTAATTTAGTGAAGGGGGATAAATCTAATTTCCCCTCCACTACAATTTTGTCATTCAAACCATAAGTTATCACTAATTCTTCGTTATCTTTTTTAGAAGCAATCGAATCCGATATTAGTTGAGCATCTATTTTGTTGGTGGTTGACATGACAATTATTATCCGCTAAATCTTAGAGAAATTAAGATTTTTTCGGTACAAGGTAAACATTCTCTACATTAAATTGATCCATACGAATTACATCTTTTCCTTTGTAAGCACCTTTTTCTAATCTTATATTTCTTTTAGAATCAGAATCCCCGAATGCTCTCGCCAAAGAAATAACAAAAGTATGCCCTACTTTATCAATTTGCTTTGAACTATTATCTTTTAATGCATCAGTTTGGTCAGCATAATCCACTTTTCCCCAGTCATCATTACTGTAATGGATAGCCAAGACTTCGGCATCTTTAATATTTAAGTCTTTTTTGTTCTCCAATGTTTTCACATTTTTGGGAGTAAATCCTGGGTATTTAATGCTTCCTTTCTTAAAAGTGAAAAAAATTGCCTGTTTGCCGTCATCTACTTCAATATCGTCAGCGGTAAATTCAAATTTTCCTTCTTGGTGATCTTCCGGACGGGCTAGAGCCTGAAAGTGATTTTGAGAGTCAGTCATATAAGCAAATCAAGGTTCATTATGTTTATAAGTTAGTTCGCCAGAAGATGTTGAGCGAGCGACAATATAATCAGGTTCGGTAGTATTTGGTACAAGAACGCCATTAACTGCTGCTGCTCGGTAAACCAGACCAATTGGACGCTCTAAAACTCGGGCCACATATTCGATATCGGCACCAGTACACCAATCTCCATCATAAGCAATACGGCAGTTAGTGTTGCTTGTGCCTTCGGCATTTTTCTCAGTTCTATGCATCAATAGTCTGGTAGTTTCTTTAGCCGCGTCTTCATCTTTAGTTTTAGCGGAACCAGTTCAATCCTTATCGGTCATTAAGCCTAAACAAATAGCTAGACGTATGGGAATCGCTCACTTTTTATCATTTTTTCCTTCCATCATAATAGAAAAGGAGTTTAAGAAACAATTACCATCCCCGGAAGTTGCATAACTTTCGTAATTTAACCAGCGCTCATTTTTGGCCGAAGCAAATGCGTCTTTATTTGTCGCTGAAGACTTAAATTTGATATTTTTGGCCCCTTTAACCATAGTTTGGAAGTTTAGGTCCGCACTTAAAGAACCTTTATTCTTCCTAAAGTTAGCCATGGTAATATCCGCCCCGGCCATAGGATTACCAACTTCGGTTTGGATTTCTTTGGCTTTATCTGTTATTTCCTTTCAAGTAGGATTAGATTTTTTGGTAAAGAAGTCTTGGATTTCCTTTAAAGCAGCATCAAATTCCATTCCCTTCAGTCCTTTAATTACCTCTTCAACATTTTTACCTTTTAACCCAACATCAATTTCTTTCTTTCCTTTGGAATTATCAATAATCTTGTCAATTTCTCCGTCTGGATTGTTAAAGTAATTAACATTGGGAATATCTGGATCACCCAATCAATTAGTCTGGAAATTTTGAATTTCCTTTTTAGTTATTTTGCTGTCTACAAACCTTTGAATCAGATCCCTAACAATATTTTCTAAAACACCCCGTGCAATAGTGCCGGAAGCGTGGTCAAAATCGGTATAATTACCTCCTGTATCTCCAGTTACTGTATCCAAATATTGTTGTCAAGTTGCTCCGTCACCTCCCCGATCGGCATCACCCCAATGATTTTTGCTAGCCTTGGCTTCAATTTGTGTTGCCCCAAAGGTAGAAGTTGAATAATCAGTGATTATTTTTTCAATCTTAACTTGCCATTTCTTTATTTTGTTATCTAAAGCCTTGTCTCTTTCCACTTTAACATTACCAAAATCGACATCATTCAAAGTAAATCGTTTTAAAGTATCATCCCAGCCAATATTTTCCGCATGAGTAATTTCAATCTCTATATTAAGATCCTTTTTCAAATCTTGCAATAATTTTTTGTAACGAGCATCGATAGACTTATCATTCTGGAAAATAATTTGAACTTCTTTTGGTAGATCTGAACCAGTTAATGGTACCGACTTACCTGCCGCCTTTTCTAAAGCAAATCCATCAGCTTTTAAAGCACCTTTAGCATTATCAATGGTTAAAGTAATAGTTCCTCCAAAGTTAGCATTTTTA